ACCAATTCTGGATATGAAGCGGTCGATAACGTATGGGAGATAACGTCGATGCAAGGAATAGAACGGGACCCTAGATGAATAATTTAAGTTTTGAAATTGAAGATGTGATATCGCCCGGTCCGGCTGGGAGGGCGTCCCATTTAGAAATGACTCATCAGCCGCGCGGAACGAGGAGCAGCCGCAGCAGCAGGCAACACCTGCGGGGCTATCCGCGGAAGACCAGCGGGCGGTCTTGAAAAATGATCCCAAAATGCCTCACACGTCCCTTACAATACGCGCCTTGCTTGTTCGCGGCCGCGGGTCCCTGTTCGGTCGGCCGCGCCCAGAAGTGGGTCCGCACCGCCTGCAATGCTCTACTTCTACCGGCGGCGTGCTCGCGTGCACGCGGGGCGCCAGCCTCGGCGGCCCGGCCCGGGCGGCACCCGCAGCCGCAGCGCAGATATGGATGCCATCACTCCGATTATTATTTTTCGTTTTTTCCCCTCCCCGGCCCACTTTGCCCTCACGCGCCCGCTAGCCCTGCTGCTAGAGGTGCCGGTGCACCTGTATCACACCTTCGCGCCGGCGGCGTTGAGCTGAGAGCGGCTCCCCAAGTAGAACGGCGCTGCTAATCCTATGAGTGCTGGGCTGTTATGCAGGTGTGAGTAGCAAACTTTTGTTATGCAGTTGAAAAAGGCTCACAATTTGCTTCGTAGATGCAAAACTGCAGAACAGAAAAGGTACTCACTGAGGAGCATAACTAACACGAGAGAGAAGGGTTGCGGTTGAAATGACACCAAAGTGCAGCTCGTGTGGAGAGTTTTCACGCTGCCTCATATTTGTGCATGTCCACTGGTAAAACAGGTATGCAAATATTGCACACTTAAGTGTGCAACTGATGATTTTGCACATTACATGGTGTTTAACTGAGCTGCACACTTAGTAGTGTGCAAATATTGAACACTAGTTATCAAAACGTAAACAAAACGTCTAATATTTGCACACCAATTGACGTCTAGTTCAGTTCGACATGATGAAGTGTTTAGTTTTTGCACACTTAATACAGCACATCATTTGGCGTGCAACTTTCTACATTTTACCAGTGTGCTTTTTACCCTCACATTACTTAATTATATGGAATACGCCATAGCGTACCCCGATGGAGTACACATTGTGTATAGGGCGTATTCGCAACGCACGCCTCAGTATTGAGAAAAATACGGCCCGGGAGCTTGGGCGCCTGCGAGACTCACGGTAGGCCACACCGCTGTGCACTCATGCACTGCAGACATTGTTGCCTAACCATCAGGCGCTAGAGCCCACATGAGTCTGAACAGTTTCGTAGCGCCGAATGACGGACGTTACTTTTCGGGTGATCTTCCGAGATGACCCGTAACACAGACGCGTACTCTCCCGTATACACCCGATACTAAATGAGCACCCATATAGTCCACGCAACGTGCAAGCCTCGCGGCGCACCCGTCGAGTACCCCAACCGCAGCGCGTGCCGTCGCCGGCCCGTCAGCAGCGCCGTTGTTGGGAGTGTCGGTTTGACACGCCAGGGGCGCGGTACCTGACCGTACCCGGCGGTACCCGGCGGGGCTCATTCGCTCGCGGTGAGTCACCGGGCCAGCTTCATGTATAGTCATCAGGGGGGTCACGAGCGGGGCGAGGGGGGGTGGGGGGCGTCGCGACAGAGAACAAACGCACTCGCGTTGCCCTCACCATGGGAACCGGCGCCGGCCAGGGCCAGAGCCCGAAGCTAACGGGGTCGCTTAAGCCCGACACGTCCACACGCCGCCACCCCATGAGGGCCATTACACATTAATTGATTTCCATTCATTTTCTCGCGCGAGCGCCCTTCTGAGGAAAGGGAGGGGGCCCCCACCAATGTGAGGTGGATCCCGTTGAGTCTACCGGGGGTCCCGAAGCAGCGCGCAGCAGAGTGGTCGTGTGTTTTCGACCCCCACCCCTTTCTTATTGCGCGCTCTCTCTATCTCTCTGTCTCTCTCGCGCACGCACGCACATACTCACTCACGACTCACACTTCGTCGCGTATGTGTTTGGGTTCACGCTTCCGGCGCTCCTCGGCCACCTTAGGGTTCCACTCGGCACTCGCGAGGAAGCGAAGCGACGCGGAAAATATATACAAATAAAACAAGTAAACTTGGTTCCGCATTTTTCGCAATTTCTCAATAACCTTTCATTTTTCGTGCGTTATCGCAGTTGCACGAACACATACGCCCGACACATCAGCAGCACACATTCGGGCTGCTGGCCACAGCGAGTTGGTGGGACAGCCGGCCTGGCCACGCCGACGCCGCCTCGGTACCAGCTCGTCTAGACGGCTCGGCGGCGCGCAAGCGCAGTGAGTGCCGCGGGTGGCCGGGCGTGCTTGGCGTCAGGGGCCCGGGGAAAGGGGGGAGGGGGGCAGCGGCAATAAGCGATACGGAGGAGTTTTACTGTCCCAGTCCGAAACTGAATGAGTCTGGCCGGCCGCCCCGCCCCGTTCAGAGGAAGAGGAGGAGTAGGAGGAGGGGGCAGAGGAGGCGGTGGAACCGGTGGTGGTCGTGCCGCGTGCTCGGGCTTAGGCGCTGTTTGCATTCTGCCGTTTTATTTCCCGCGCTTGCCTCCCGTTCAGTGACCTGTCCGGGTCGGGCAGCGAGCGCGGCCGCGAGGAACACCGGCGTGCGTGTTTATGTATAGAGGTGTGCTTTGTTTGTGGACACGGGTCGTGCGAGGGCCCCGCCACGCCCTGCCCCGCCCCACCACTCCTCGCGGCGGGACATACCGCCGCACAGCGGTACAGAACAGAGATGCGAACCGCAATGCGACGAGTATTTCCGACCAACACTGACAGTATAGGTCGGAGTGTGGTGTAGTCATACAGCGACTGAGTGCGCAAGCTCAGCAATGTACCTAATACCTCGTATTATTGAACTGATGTACAAAATTTTGCAACTTTTGTCTGGAGGACGCACATATGACGACACATGACAGAAATAATTGTCTTGCGAGTCGATCGGTAGAACGCTCGTATATATGTTCTGGCGGCTCACTCTTGGTGTACAGTTTGAACAGTTTGTCGATGAGATGTAGGCCGCACCACATGCGCCGTGCGGAACAGTCTGCCCGCGGGTGGTCGCGATGTGCCGCCGACTGTGACGCACGCACGCGCGCACGCGGGCACGCGCACGAGCCGAGGAGCGCGGACATGGGGCCCCGCGTGGACACGCTCGGCGCGCGCACGGAGCCGTGCAGCCTGGCCTGGCAGAGGAGGCCGGCCGGCTTCTCATTAAGGACCAGAGACAGCATCGGCCGGGGCGTACTTCACTATAAATGTACAATGGGTTAATTCAAGCGTACAACGATTTTTCGTATTTTTGTTGCTTTCCCCTATTCTCATTTCTTTAATTTTTTAAAAAGTTTT